AGTATCAGGGACGTCTGAAAGTGGTTATGAAGATCTGCCTTCATACTTATATATGATTCGGCGGGCAAACCCGGGTACACTAATCAAGCTAGAAGTTGATGAGGAAGATAGATTCAAATTTATGTTCCTCTCATTTGGCGCAAGCATACAGGGGTTTCCCTTCATGAGGAAAGTGGTAGTGGTCGACGGTACGTTTTTATATGGAAAATACAAAGGTACACTACTACTCGCCACCACGCAAGATGGAAACTTCAACATTTTTCCCGTAGCCTTTGCTGTTGTTGATACTGAGAACGATGAGTCTTGGGAATGGTTTTTTACACAACTACACCGTGTTATTCCTGATGATGAAGGACTTGCCATTATTTCTGATAGGCATAAATCCATAGGAAATGCTATAGGGAAGGTTTATCCTCTTGCTAGTCGGGGTATTTGTACATATCATCTCCATAAGAACATTATGGTGAAATTCATAGGCGCTGAAACATTCAAGCTTGTTAAGAAGGCTGCCACTGCTTATAGACTTCTCGAGTTCAATGCCCTTTTTGCTCAGATTCAAGAGGCAAATCCTGCACTGCATGCATACTTGGTGAAGGCAGATATTTGTATGTGGAGTCGTGTACACTTCCAAGGTGATCGGTACAATTTCACCACTAGCAACATAGCGGAGTCATTAAACAAGGTGCTATCTGCTGCAAGAGGTAAGCCTATCGTACGACTAGTGGATGATATAAGGAGTCTCCTGACCAGGTGGTTTGCTAAAAGACGTGTGAATGCCAATAACATGGCTACCACTCTAACAACGGGCGTTGAAAAGTTGCTGGAGGTAGACACTACTTTACCTTGTAGACTTTCTATTATTTGGTAGACTTGTATCTGCTATTAGGTAGACTTTCTATTATTTGGTAGACTTGGTACACTTATCTCTGCTATTAAGTAGACTTTCAATTATTTGGTAGAGTTATTACTTCTATGTGGTAGACTTCTATAACTTCTAAATAATTCCTTGAAGTGTGCGACACCGCTGAAAATGCTAAACTCTTACC